TTTGAAGTCTGTAAAAAATGTAAGTGATTCTTCTCCAGATTCTACATACAATACAAAAAATTCATCCAAATCGGTCGAGATTCGACCGAGTTATGAATTTTTGAAAATCGAAAAAACGCGATTTTTTGACGAAAAATGGCAAAAATATGGTGTTTTTTCGATTTTCAAAAATTCATAACTCGGTCGAATCTCGACCGATTTGGATGAATTTTTTGTATTGTATGTAGAATCTGGAGAAGAATCACTTACATTTTTTACAGACTTCAAAAAAAATTTTCCGAAAAGTTGAAAATGTAGTACCTGTTAGACCGGTCGAAAATTTTTCGAAAATATCAGAATTTCGAAAAATGCAGAAACATGTCAACTGAGATACAAATAGAGCTTTCGATTGCCATATAGAACTTATTTTTTGAATAAGTGTACATAAACTTATGAACAAAAAACAAGTGTGCATAAACATATGCACCGCAGTGTATGTTGACCGTGATTTTGTTTTATGGATAAATCTTTCTTTTTCATATTTTGTTTATCAAAAATATAAAATTGAAATAAGATGAGAGGGTGTTTGGAGATTTGTTCTGGAAGGTTCCATACCGAATTTTGAGGAAATTTGACTCCAACATTTTTTAATTTGGGTATGTAAATCCATACGAATTCGGGCCCTATTCATTATAAATTCAATTTACCTAATAGAAATTCGAAAATTGTTTTGAAAGTTTTTAACCAATTTTTAAATAAAATATGATAATATATACATGAATTGAACGATTAAAAATGGCAGATTTGTGTCAAATTTAATTTAAATACAATCAGAATAATGCCAATCTTTAGTTAAATAGTATGTTTACTTCACTTTTTTATCGTTTAGTGTCGATTTCCTCTCCACAATCTACATAAAATTATTTTTTATTTATTAAATGGGTTTGGATTGTCTAAGATTACTTTTCTAATTTTTAATAATAGGTAATTTTTAGAGAGCGAGATTTTCAAAAAACCTTGACCTTGATTTCGATTGGGTACCTTGACCAGATTCTTGACCTTGAGTCAAGGAAAAGTCAAGGAACGCTGAAAAATGCCTTAATCTGGACTCTGGATCCAGGAAAAATCAAGGTCTGGATCCAGATCCAGTCGCTCTCCAGACCTCTTTTTTAAAAATAAACTTTTTTACCGACAAGTTTAAGTGTATGGAAATTTAAAACCTGCCCTTCTAGTACAGGTCTTATTTTCCCCTATGCACTTACAGCCTATTTTTCTTATATCGTAGGCAGGTACGTGCATGGATTTTGGTACGAGCATCGAACATTGCTTATTTGCAGGAGGGATGTGTCGAAACAATTTTTAAAAAATAAATACGAGCTGCTTAAGCGAAATGCCGAAAAAACCAAAAGCGGTATGCGATGAGTGGCCACAACCCCGCTTTGCAACCTACTTGCGAAAGTTATGCCGAGAAGTTCAGCTTCTCATAAAATTTAATTTTTGTAAACATTATGTATTACTTTGCTTTTTTGGTTAATTTTGATTTTGTGTTTCCGCAACACCTTGCGTTGTTTCGTTTTGTGTTGGTATAGTTTCCAACTGTTTTCTAATTTCAGAAAGCTTTTCATCACTAAGCTTGTGTCGACAAAAAGGGCACGTTTTCTGTTTTTTACCAATTAGCCTAAAATAAAAAGTTATCCTTAAATGAAGCAAACCACAGACGGAACTCACTATAGGATACCCCCCCCCCCATATTAGATATAATTCAAGATGCGCTTGTGGGAAAAGACAAGATTTTTAACCGCAAGAATTACGAAGAATTACGAATGATACTCGTAATTGAATGATCGTTTGGGTGATCTCTATGACACTCAGTCAGAGGCCCCAAATGTTATACCTTGGATTGGAATATGTTATGTACGTGACTTGTATTTCTACGTACTAACAAGAATAACATCAAGATAAGATAGTAACTAACAGCTGCTTTATCTACAATACTAAATACAATAGGTTGCGTACATAGGAATATGACTAAGTGCCGAATATGTGAGACAGAATAGAATATATCTAGGGTGCAGTGTTGGGTATGGTTCCTGGAGCTAGCTGTGGAGTCCACCTCCAGAGATAGATTTTGAAACCCCCGGAGAGGAAGCCAAATTTTTTCAATTCCCGTCGGCTCTGATTATTAAAGTGTGAATTAAATTAAAGTATAATTTTTTAATTGTAAAAGAAAAATAAAAAGGAGTACCGTATTTTCTCGATTAATTCCCCTCACTCGAATAATTCCCCCTCTCGATTAATTCCCCATGCCAATGCAGAGTTGAAAAAATAATTCCCCAGGGGAATTAATCGAGAAACACGGTAATTAATCATTTTGTATTAAAAAAATAAATTATTATGAATATTTATTATTAGAAAAAAAGTTGGTAATATTTTTTAAAAAGATTAATCCTACCATTTTTTAAGACAACCTGCGTGAAATATATGCTAAAATATAAAATAGATTGTCTATAAAAAATGTTTTAATAAAAACTTTGCAATCAAGCAGCATAACATTTTCTTCAGATTTATAATTCCCTAAACATAAAGAACATTCCTCTACTTTAAGATAATGCAATTGATCATTAATTAAAGTAACCCCGTTTACATTAAACTCTTAAAATTAAAAGGTTAAATTAATAGATACTGTATAATGTCCCTCTCAATAATTAATGTCCCTCTCAAATAATGTCCCTCTCAAATAATTACCCCTTCCCTATTACCGTATTTACTCGATTAATTCCCCTGGGGAATTATTATTTCAACCATCCGTGACATGGGAAATTATTCAAAGGAGGGGAATTATTCGAGTTGAGGCATTTGAACGTGCAGTAGGGTATTTGGGAGTCCCAACCCAACTCTAGCATGGGGAATTAATCTAGAGGGGGAATTATTCGAGGGAGGGGAAGTAATCGAGTAAATACGGTAATTACTCCCTCCGGCGAGAGGTTGAACCAATAATTACCCTGGGTAATTATTTTAACAAATACGCTAAGTTTTACAGTCGGACCTCAAAATTATAAAACCCTCAAATTTAAGATAGGTTTATTTAAATTTGTTTGATTAATGGGTAAATAATCGCCAGGTAATACCCCCAAATTAAATTACTCCTCCCGTTATAAGGACTATTTTTCAGCCAAAAGAGGCTTATAAGTTCAAGGTTTGACTGTAGTACTATTTTCTTTCCTTTTACCTTCAATTGTTAAATTTAATTTAATTTTTAAAAGCTCGTCTTTGAGCTTATATTGACAATATGGGCAATTGTTGTTATTTCCTGCGATTAGCCTAAAATAAAAATTAACCCTGGGTAATTATTGTTTGGGCCCCCCTCTGGATAGGATAATTAATAGATAATACCGCCGAATATGTGAGACAGAATAGAATATATCTAGGGTGCAGTGTTGGGTATGGTTCCTGGAGCTAGCTCTGGAGCCCGCCTCCAAAGAGCCCGCCTCCCAAATTAAATTACTCCTCCCGTTATAAGGACTATTTTTCAGCCAAAAGAGGCTTATAAGTTCAAGGTTTGACTGTAGTACTATTTTTAGAAAACATTGGAAATTAGAAAACATTTGGAAACTATACCAACACAAAACGAAACGACGGAAGGCGTTGCCGAAACACAAAATCAGAATTAACCAAAAGAAAGCAAAGTAATAATATTTAAAATAGGCTGCAAGGCGGGGCTGTGCCACTCTATCGCATACCGCTTCTGGTTGAATCTTGTTTTTCGGCATTTCGCTTATTGTAGCTCGTGTTTTACTTTTTAAAAATTGTTTCGACACATCCCTCCTGCAAATAAGCAATGTTCGATGCTCGTACCAAAATCCGTGCACGTACCTGCCTACGATATAAGAAAAATAGGCAGGGAAAATAAGGGGAAAATAAGACCTGTACTAGAAGGGCAGGTTTTAAATTTCCATACACTTAATGTTGTCTGCAAACAAGGGTAATCCTGCAGAATCTGGGAGACACCTTAAAAACATCTTAAAAATTATTATTTTTTTTCTGAAAATAATTTTATACAGGTAATCGACCATGCTGGTCACGAATCTGATATCAGATTTTGTTGAATGTGACATTTTATCTATGATTTTTTATCATATACTTGATTTAGGGGCGCTTTAGTATATGCCCACAGTTTTTCCACGAAGATTCCGTTGGTCATAACTTTGTTCAGAATCATTCAATCGAGTTGATTCTAGTGTCATTCGACTCAGCTCGTCGAGTTCTCTCGAATGAGCTATTATTTGGATTTTCGATTTTTTGACCCCAAAAATTTTCAAATTTCGGGCGTCTGTAACTCGGCACTATGTAGTCGTATCGCGAATGGCGCTCGACTCAGCTCGAATACGCGTATCAGAGTAGCCCTAAATATTTAATACCGAATTTTTATCCAGAATTTCGACTCGGTCGAAATCGAGTCCGGGGTTCGAAATAAACGAATTCTAAACTCAGATTCGTGTCCAGCATGGTCGATTACCTATATAAAATTATTTTGAGAAAAAAATAATAATTTTTAAGATGTTTTTCAGGTGTCTCCCAGATTCTGCAGGATTACCCAAACAAGTTTATTTTTTAAAAAGTGTTGTGCTTTAAAACCGCAAACATATACAAAATTATTAGGAGGAGCTCTTTCTCGAGGAGCTCTTTCGAATGAGCTACTATTTGTATATTCGAATTTTTTCACCCCAAAAATCCCTCCATAAATTTGACCATTTCGAGCCCTATATCTCGGCTCAGAATTTTTTCCGCGGAAAAATTTTGGTGTCATTCGACTCAGCTCGCCGAGCTCTTTCGAATGACATATAAATCGTCCAATTCTGACCCTGGTACGGAAACTGTAGTTAGGCCAAGAAATGTTGTGAACCCATACCCCAACTGTGCAATACCAAGAAAAATCCAATTTTCTTTTTATTGGACGCATAAGCTTTCAATGGACGCATAAAAGTCGATTGGACGCATAAACTGGAATAGAGCCCAACTGGTCATAACTTATTACCCAGTTTTTTCTGATAATCTGCAGATAAAGTCAAATAATCCTTTTTATAATCCTTTTTATATTTTTTCCAAATATTTTTAATAATCAAAACATGCCCATCCTCCGATAACAAATTTTTTGTATTTTTTAAAAAATCCTCAATATTTTCTTCTCTATCCCTTAGAGTTTTTTCAATTTCATTCCAACGAATTTCAAATTTCTTTGCCACATTTATGCTTATTCCTCTTTCAGTATCCCAACCTTCAACATAAACTTTTGTTTGAACGTTTTCATTAACCAAAAGAAAATCTGCTATTTTTTCCACGTGATGTTGTTCAATTGCAGATATTTTATTTAAACAAAATAAATTTGTTACAAGAAAAATTAAAATAAAGAGCATTTTTAACCCTTAAATTAATTAATTGAATCTCCGAAACTCTGGGAAGAAGGGAATGTCGTATAGTTGAATGTCGTATAGTTGAATCCGGCTGGTGGAAATATTGTAAGGATGCTTCAACTAGAGCATTTAAAACGATTAGGCGGGGGTATCTAAAAAGGAGATATCTAAAAAAGGAAAAGAGAAAGCATTGGTCGATGCCTCGGTAGCTCAGAGGTAGAGCACTTGCATTTGTCTGAGCAAGGCCGAGCGATCACTGTCAGCGTTGTCGCAGGTTCGAATCATCTTGCCCGGTGGCTAAACTTTTGCAAAACTCTTTCTATATGAGATATAATTATTACTCTTTCTATGAGATATAGAAAGAGTTTAGCAAAAGTTTAGCCACCGGGCAGGATTCGAACCTGCGACCTCCCGCTTTCGCTCACTATATGCAGGAGCTCTACCTCTGAGCTACCGAGGCAACGACTAATGCCTTCTCTTTTTCCTTTTTAGATCGTTTAACCCCCGCCTAAGCGTTTTAAATGCTGCTGGGTGAATCATCCTTACAATATGTAATCCTAAGATATAGCAGTGAAGGTTTTATGCTGCAATATCCATTAGTCAACCCGGAATCCCGTGGCCAACTCGGAGCAGTTCAGAAAACTCTGGACCTGGAGCCTAAGTATGGGATTGAAAGGATCGAAGCCGGAGCAATAAAAATTAAAACGAAAAATAGGAGCTAACCCTAAAAAATAGGGCCTAATACATAGAGAATTACTAAATCAAGTATTTAATTAAATAAAAAATTTGTTTCTAAAAGAATTTTTAACTGAGAAAATGGATCCAATTACTATTGCCTTATTTTTATGCCGATCAGAGGTGGGTAAGAAATGATGAAGATGCCGGAAATCGGAACTGTTGGAACTTGGAACTCGGAAATCAGCCTAAATTTTTGGAAATCGGAAGGAGAAAAACATCGAAAATCGGAATTCCGACCCACCTCTGATGTCGATGACTGTAAATATATTTTATTTTGAAAAAAATTAATAAAACTTTAAATAATTTATTAAAAATTAAAAATTAATTAAAGGGAATTTAAATTTTTGTCTATATATAAAAATTAAGAAGGAAGGGAATTTAAATGGCAAGACAATGAATAAATAAAATGCTTTGTTAATCATAAAAAATTTTTAAAATTCCTCGGAGACAACAATGTAAATTTAGACAAAGGAAGTCTGACATATTGATTTTTTATTTTAAAATTTAAAAAGGAAAAATTTAATTTAAAGGGAAAAAATTAAAAGTTAGAAATGTTGGGAATATTGTGTATATTTTGTCCGGAACCGGAGCTGTTTAAACGATTTTTTAGCAGACCTGGTCACGGATACTGATCTTCGTATCCGCATATCTACGGTGGATATCCGCAGGCATTTTGATATTATCTGTTATTTGTATCCATGGGCAGGTCTGATTTTTAAGAAGTGTGGGGTCTGTTTCAGGGTTTCTGTGATCTCATCAGGATTATTTTTGAAGCAAGCTAATCCACAAAAGTTCAGCCTAGATCTCGTCTCGAAATTCGGTTTCCAGATTCCTTTACCGGACAGTAATGATGGTCGAGCCTCTCGGTCTCTATTTCGGTCTCGGGGTTGATTCTCGGTTTCGACTCTCGGCTTTTTTAACTCCCGACTATCACTACCGAACAGTAGTTGTAATTAAAAACAGGTGAGTAAATTGAAGGTATTGAGGTTTCTGTAGTTAAATCAAAAACAGAAAAACTTGGTAGATAGAAAATCAAAACTCTAATCATGACGAAAATCGTATAAGCTTATTATAAGGAATAGGAACTCTTTAAAAAAGTAAAAATTATAATTAGAGTAAAGCAGCTGGGCTATAGCTATTTGTATCCTTTAGCTAGTGCAAAAGGTTATTCGGCGGTTGGGGACCAGCATCTTCAGTAGTTCGGACTGATGTGTTAGCCATTACACCACGCCGCCTACTGCATAACCTTGGGAATTAAATAGCTAGATAGGCCTGTCCGGATTTTTTGTTTCCTATACAAATGTATAACGCGCAGTATCATCCACTCTCTCGCATCTAAGAAAAATCCAGAAAAAGAGAAGAAACGTGGATTTTTAAAAAATCAAAATTGAACAAGAAAATAAAAGTTTGGCATTATGTATTTTTAAAATTAAAGTTTCATTTTGTTAAAAATTGTTTTTCTTATCAAGAAAGGTTTTTTTGTTTTTCTTTCAAATTTTTATATTTTTTTAGCTTAATTTTTGTTTGAAATCCAATTTGAATAAAATTCTTCAATGACTGCAGTTATTCTGGAACGGAATCAAGGTTATGATTTTTTATTAGAAATTCTAAAAAAATATTTAACGTTGCTATAGAAGGAGTTTAGGTCACCGGGCATGATTCGAACCTGCGACCTCCTCGTAGTTGTTGCTAGGCTCTTTCGCTCACCACATACAGGAGCTACCGGGGCGCATCGACTAAATTTTCCGTTTAACCCCCGCCTAAGCGTTTTAAATGCTCTAGGTGAATCATCCTTACTAGGGTTGGAGGCCCGGTCCGGTCCGAAAGATCGAGTCGAGCATCAAATTTTGTCCCGAAAAAGACTCGGTCGTGCCGGCCTGATAAAAAAGAGGCCCGAAAAATGACTCGAACGTCGGCCCGGCTCGAATAGTCTAACCTTAATCCTTACATTATTCCATCTTTTAAATATTTCAGACCTTTTAAAATTTTTAATCAAAAATTCCAAATTTAGATGCAACAATTTATGTTGGCGGTCTAGACGAAAAAGTAACAGAAGCAATTCTTTGGGAATTATTTGTCAATTCGGGGCCAGTTACAAGTGTAAATATGCCTAAAGACAGAATTACTGGAACACATCAAGGATTTGGTTTTATTGAATTTATGAGTGAGGAGGATGCCGATTATGCTATTAAAATTATGAATATGATTAAATTGTTTGGGAAGCCAATTAAAGGTTTGAGTTTTTAATTGAAATCTTTTTTATTTTTTTGGTATTCTCGGTCATTTCCTTATTTTTTTTTGATATACCTACCAAGGTTGTAGCCAGGGGGCTGAAGCCCCCCCCCCCCCGAAATGGGGGAAAAATTCAGGAGAAGGATGGTCGAAAAAGTGAAATTTTTCGCCTACGGCCTTCTAAAATTCAAAAAAATTTTGCCTGCGGCGCTGAAAACATAAAAATTTATGTAAAAAAAATTTTCGTTCGAAACGCCAAAGTGTCGCCAAAATTTTGGCGTATCCCCAATGTTAGCCCCCCCCCCGGAAACCGACCCACTGGATACGCTCTTGATACCTACATAAATTATAGAAATCGAGCTGTATCTGGATCCAAACGTTAATTTTTCTTCCAGAGTCATGATCTAGGCGTTTTTCATTAGTTTCTAGATTTGTCCTTGTCACAAGTTCAAAAATTTGGTCAAGTTTTTTTTAATCTCGATCTCTAATCCAAAAGAAAAATACCAAATATAACTTTTAAACCCAAAAACTTGTCAAATAAATTTTGTCGAGAGAATAGGGAGGATAAACAAGAATTGCTTTAGACAACCAGTCTACCGAAAAAATTAATTAGACAAATCGCCTTAATTTGTTAAGTTTTTCAGTTTGATTTTTTACTAACAATAAGATGCCCATAATTAGAATTTAGTCCAAAAAAATTTTTTTTTAATTTTAAAAAGAAAATTTTCTCTTCCAATTTTAGTCAATAAAGCTTCTGCTAACGAAAAGCAAATGGATGTGGGTGCTAATTTGTTTGTTGGTAATTTAGCTGCTGAGGTTGATGAAAAATTGTTGTTCGATACTTTTAGCGCTTTTGGAGTTATTTTACAGGTTTTTTTGAATTTTAATTTTGAATATTTATTTTTTAGCCACCAAAAATTATGCGTGATGTTGAATCTGGATCTAGCAAAGGATTTGCTTTTATTAATTTTGCGTCTTTTGAGGCTTCTGATGCTGGTTATTTTTTATTATTCTTTTTAGTACACCAACCTACCGCGGGCCTAGCCTACCGCCGAGGCTATAACTTCGTTCAAAATTGTCAAATCTGAGATAACTTGGCATGGTTGGATTCAGCTCGTCGAGGCGTATTGAACCATACCAAGACGTCCCGGATTCGACAATTCTGAAAGCAGTTATAGCCTCGGCGGTAGGTTGGCCTGCTCCCTTCTAGTACACCCTCAAACTTTTCCATTTGGCAAGGGCGTATCAAAAAGTCTATTTTTTCTCGAATCTGACCAATTTGCTATAAAATTGGTCTTTTTTATGCCCAATTTTGATAATTGTTTGAATAGCTGAATCAGACCCGTAACCAGATTTTTTGCAGAGTGAGGGCAGGGGACTATCTCCTGGTTACGAGCTGAGCTTAATGCACCTTTTTCATTTTTTCCTGTACCTACCAAGGGCGTATCCAGGTGTTGAAACCCCTCCCCCCCCCCCCCCCCCCCGAGATTGAGGTAAAATTTACGAAAAGAAAATTTGTGTTCGGAACGTCAAAGTGAACACCAAAATTTTGGTCTCACCTCGTGTTACCCCCCCCCCCCCCGAAATCGACCCTCTGGACACGTCCTTGGTACCTACTTTTGTGGATTGCTTTTTTTTATTTCAAATTTTTTAAATTTATTTTTAGCCTTGGAGGCGATGAACGGCCAATTTCTTTGTAATCGACCTATTACATGCTCTTATGCTTTCAAAAAGGACACAAAGGGCGAACGGCACGGAACTGCTGCAGAGCGTCTGTTGGCATCACAAAATCCGTTGTTTCTGCATGATAGACCTCATCAAATATTTTCTGATGTGCCGGGATTGAGGTTTTTTCAATTATTTGGGTTTGGGAAAAGTTTTCTGAAGCTAAACTCAAAAATTTGCTCTTAAAAATTTGGTTGCCCCCTTTACCTTTTTTCCCTTTTTTACCCTCAAAAATTTGTTGATTTTTAATTTTAACTTATTTTTATATATTTTAAGACCAATGCCAATTCCGCCACCAGCACCACCTT